TCTCGATTTAGACGATTTAAACAGACAGTCAACGGTTTTCGAGAAGTGTGCAGTGATTAAAGCCATTAGCCTGGCTAACTCACCAATTGATTTTAGTAATATGTTCGGTTCCTGGAAATTTCAGTTATAGTTTAAATCGGACCGGTCCAATGACCCTTCGCTTCACTGGTTTGGCCCGCTAAACAGTCTGACATTTCTATCTTTGTAATGTACTACTCACAAGGTTGCTGAAAATCCGTCGACAATTCACGACCGGTTTCGCCCTTTTGGGGGCTCATCAGGTAAGCGTAGTCCCCGGATTTCCGTCAACTTTAGGTTCTACTTAAAACCAGGCAGCCTTGAAACCTGACAGCCAGGTTATCTGGCTAACACTGGCTCAAGGCCTGCGTAAACCATTACATAAAGCTGCCAGCGACAGGCGTTCCCGTACACACGAGTTGTCCCAACGAGGGAATAAGATTAGGCTGTTCGTAAGAGTCTTCAGGCGTTCCCGTACACACGAGTTGTCCCAACGAGGGAGTAAGATTAAGCTCTTCTTAAGAGTTTTCAAGCATACTCCGAATTTGTTTCTCGATGATCATGGACGACAGTTTACTGCTCATCGGCATGTCTTCAAAACGTATGTCAGGTTGCAAGTGTACGAGGAATTCATCCGATCAAACTTTTTTCAGCCAGAACCATACCTGGCTGTTTTTCGTACACAGATATCATCAAAATCAGAAGAGGCCATTTAACAACGAATGCAACGAGACTTCAAAACACACAGAATCGACAGCTTGACGTCTGGAAGTTTAACGAGGTGAGTCTGAGAGCATAATCGCCCGGGCACACTATGTGGGTATTGACTTTGAGTGTGCCACGCAAGTTGTGGACATGAATAAACACGAAGTATTCAACATGTGCACAACTTCAACTTATTCGATGGGCGATTTCATTGAATTTGCGGATTATGTTGTCTGGCTGACTAGTTAAGGTCCAAAACTGCTGACAGGAATGTTAGTGATTCGAACCTAACCTCGGTGTGTCACGGGTCAATGTCTAGGCTTCGATATTCTAGCAGCGCTCAGTGCTCGTGAGTCTTTCGGTGGCCTGGTAGCTACAGCACACAAAAAACCCTTCACAGCCTACTGATTATGTTGCATTCATACAAGAACACAATAAACGCCAGTTATTGTTGCTTTTCTCTCTTTCAGCATGAATAAAATATAACTTTTTGAATTCCGCACCCAAGTGACTCAACCGCACTGGAGTAAGAAGAACGATTCGGGCGAATATGCAAAATAATTTTAAAATTCAATTCAGGGTGGTGCTCGCGACATGTATATAAAACTCCAAATCATATCCACAGAGACGCGTAGAGAAATACGATCACACATTGAGTGAAGTCGATGTTAACAACAGTCAGCGGTATACCAAATGTTCAAAAAACAGTTACACCCTATGACATCCAATAAAACGCATTGAACCAAAACGAGTAAATGTGCATTACGCACATCCAAAACCTACAGTCTAAAAGGAAACTTGTCATTGCCACGTTTGCCAAAAGTAGACAAAAACACTCCGAAAAAGACCGCTACAGTAAGAATTCTATTCACGATTTCGCAGTCAGTAGTATCCAAAAGCTTTCAAGAGCCCAGCTACCAGAATGCCCAAGGAAATTCAGAATCTGAATATACCTTGCAAGACAAGGCAATGGCTCTACAAAACGGCTTGGAAAAACCCACTTTATCGGAGTTCCATTAACGCACAGAATGAGCTGAGCCGGCGTACTCATGGCCTTCTACCTTTAAGAAACCTGTTCCAACTAACACAAGTCTGATAACTACGTTGTCGTCATTAATACACAACCGGTGCTTGGCGTCAGCTAAAACTGGCATGAGCGACCCTGAGCATAACGTCGCTTCACTTGGAAACGAATCACTTCTTCAACTACTACTGCAGCCATACTTAGCTTCATGAGTACGCAGAACCAGCAGGTTGTAGAAACACCCAGAATCACCCTACGTCTAAGCAAACCATTCAAGTTGTTCCCAAAGAAACTACAAAGGCTTCACACGAGGTGCTCCTGAAATTCGTGGGCATAATCCGGTCGCTATATTCTCACATTTCCTGAAGTGCTAGATTGTATAGGGAGCATTCTGACAGCTTCTGCACAGAATATGATGTACGGCAGTTATATCTACCATCCCTCTTTCTGTTTCGCCCCATTACTGCCGAAATGATGAGGTGAAAGCTTGTGTGTCCCCAATAACTTTGAGGTTCACATCGTCGCTTGTGAGAAACTCGATGCTGTGGAACGGACATTGAGTTACTCTTTCCAAGATAAGTCATTAAACTACCACGTCTCTTAGCCCTACGTGATAAAAATGATGGATCGATCTTCCAGTTCAAAGCCTCTAAATGTGTAAAATGTTCGGCCGGCACGTAAGTTCAAGCGTGGGGTAAATAAGCCAAAAGTTTATGACAAGTTTCAGCTATCTACACGTATCTGATTAGCTGAAATTAGATCGAGAAACCTTGAGTTGCTGAAAATTTCAGGTGCAGGAAACATTTCCCAGTTTAATGAAATTCTACACAAGCTGTTTCGTGTATCTACGGCTACAGAGAGGAAGTAGGTAGCAAAAAAATGACACCCAGTGGGCTAGACAAGTCAGGCTTAATCTCGAANCCGAAAGCACCTCAAATAGGCAAACAATCACAAGTGGCTGCTCAAAGTGAAAGCTACTCACTTTAGATTCCAAATCGATGACAGTTAACCGCCTTGATGGGGTTCCAGGCTCTTCCATCCTTACATCTCCCATTTTTCCGGTATGATCACTGTGTTTACTCGAGATGACCGAAAAAGTTCGGTCTGAAACACCATCTGCGCTGGTTTGCACTCCATTGGAGTCTTGCTGCATGTCCAGACGTTCGCGCCTTTCTCTAGCAAGACGAACTCGCTCTCGTCGCGCTTCACGTTCCAAGGCCTGTTCCCGAGCTTGTTTTTCCGTGTCCAGTCGAATGCGTTTCTCCAAATCTGGAAGCTGTGATTCAATGTAGGCGAGCAGCCATCGCAGGCCCATCCGAATTGCTTTGTCCAATTTTTTATGTTTACTTAGCAAAGCACAACATCGTTCCTGTGGATGTAAAGTTGATTAGCCATTCCGAGTGAATCAATGTTTTTAAATACCGTGCCAACGTTCACAATACCTGTTTGTCTCATTTTTACCATATCAATCAAGACACTATTCCAAGAAGATCCTGGTTCGTTAAGCTTTATTCAGTTAGCACAAACTTTCTTACGCAAAGGGAGTTTAACTCAAATAAAGATAGTCAACTTATACAAGAATTCTCACACATCCGTTGCTTTCTATTTGCTGAAGTTCAGGTCCTTCGTAAAAAGAATTCTATTTCAAGAGGACGTTTGAACTAACAAATCATCTTTGGCTAAAATAAACACAAGATTCGGTTTTGCCATTCTAATTGTCAAGCAAACATGATACTCAGAAGAACCGGCAAAGAAGGCAACGTCCTAGTCAAATATACTCTTGACGTAACGATGCTTTCTAGGCAGCGTTAAATTTCGATCTTATTTCATCATATTGTGCCAGTGAGTTGCACCCAGATCTAAGAAGTCTAATAGGTAACTTCTGTACCCCCAGCCTACTTGAAATCGGTGTACATAAAACGAGCCATTTATCGTAGCTACCCTTGATTTCGTATACTTTAGCACTGACTAACACATCAGATAAAGTTTTGTTACCCATGGT